TAACGTTTCGACGTTTTCGTCTTCCTCAGAGCCGGTGATCCGAGTCGATGGTCCATGCTTGTTGTTCGCCTCGACGTTGCGATCATCGACTCGGATCACCGGCTCTGAGGAAGACGAAAACGTCGAAACGTTAGCCGAAAATAAATATATTTATCAACCTCGTGCAAGCTTATCAAGAAAGAATACATGTTGATTAGTCACACCGAGGTTTAGGGAAGGTCGGTTTCGAAATATTTTTTCTGTTTAAAACGAAACTTTAAAGCAGTCGTTAACCCATACAGCGTTGCGCGTGAATCAATCTCTCAGAGGTGCGCATTCGACTCCATCAAATATCGTAGATGTGATTGAATGCATATTTAACGAATAATATTACTAGCGGGGTTCTACTGGTGCTTCAGGTTGGTGGTTTCAACGTCTCAGGCAATCTGCTAGCAGTTTGTCGACCCTAAGACGCTAGGTTGTTTCGTGCCAAATAGGAATGTAAGTACTGATGGCTTTATTGAGATGTAGGTACGGAGGGCTTGATTGAGGCGAGCCTCGTGATCGGACCAGCGGGCATGTGTGTGCTGTAGACGCCTATAACAATTGCGTAAGACTTCACATGAAAAAGTAGTTAACTATTAATATTGGGACACCACTGCATATCAGGGTGTAAATTTAGTTCGTAACTGTAGCTGTGATTTGGAACTAAAATTTCATTGGACGACTGTATCCAAATTCACAACCATGTGAATCAAATGTTACTCATACGCCAGAGGAAATTTACCCTCTCAGCTTAAAAAAACCGTTTCTTGACTAATACTGAACTCTATTAATTGAAATAAAACCCACTAGGATTTACAGATCCTGACATAAAGGATGCAACCTTTTCAATTCAACCAATCTGGAATATTGATTCCTTAAAGACCACAAGTCCTTATCTTCGTTATTTTCGAGTTCCTTGAAAATTTGTTCCCTAAGCAACTTTAGCCTAAAATGAAATTTTACAGAAGCCGAACAGTTCTCGAAGAGTTGTCGTCAATTTAGTAGGAAGAGCAGAATCTTCTTTTTATGTTAATATCCACTAGATGTATAACGTTCCATTGATTCCGGAAACTGCGTTAAGAATGTCGTGTTTTTTTAGGATATGGGAATGTTTCTGGATGATGGGCATAACTTCTCTTTTTCCATTGAAGTATCCCGATTCATTTAGTTCCAAATATATAATATAATATAATATAATAAAGTATTGTATTCCTCAAAAATCACAGCATTTTGGATGGCAAAGTATTCTAGAACTATTATTAACGCAAAAGTTGACACAAAGTTTCTCTTTGTTATTTTTTTTTGTTTGTTCTAAACTGAACAAAAGATGCACGACTTATAGAAAATGAAAAAAGAAGGAGTGAAAGATGGGAAGACGAAACATTTAAACTTCTTCGGTTTGCTTCCAGTGTGAACAAAACGTTCAGTCACAAAATGCACTCGACAACTTCTTTCTAGATATCGCGAAACTGATTCTGGTGCTGAATGCGGCGTCAAATTATGAGCCGATTGTTTCGCTATTGCCAGAGTGTGTTCTGAAGCATTATCGTTTCCTTCGTGCTGCTGCGCCTGAACTTGTAGCACCAATAAGAGTACGATGATTGTATCTCCTTGACCACCTTTCATACCTATGTAGTGCCCAGGGTTTGGTTTCATCATTACAATTTTCAGGTCTTGGAGAATCCTGGAAACACTACAAATAATACAGCACGACTACCTCCTGAAAAACTGTCAGATTCCACTTCGGATATATTGGTGAATGCATACGAAAGGCTACAAGAGGTTACTCGTGAGCCAACCCTGGCAGATAGGAATGCACTTCGAAGATATATTGTGGAGTAGGAGCAGTGTTTTACTAAATATTATAGTTTCTACGTATCGTTTTCACTTTACGACGATTTCTGTTATTTTATTCGTTTTTTCTTTAAGAGATGCAAACGCGATTAGTGCATTCAATGAGCCACTGGCGAGTGCTGCACGTTTCATTGCAAGTCTGTGCCAGATAAGTTCTGCTTTGGAATCGTTGACGCAAGTGGTTTTACGCGGTAGTGGGGATGTTGCCGAAGCGTCGAATATAATTCGTCAAGTATGTAACACTTTTTAAAGAAACTGTTTCTTTAGAATATAGCCACTTTTTATTTACTGTCTATTCTTTCTTCACGACAGGGTATGATGTGAAATGCAACTACAGTGATGCTGAGATATTTGCAAAACGGCGGACCGGAGGTGTCTGTGGTGGAGATCGAACCTCGTTGTTACCCTAGCGATAATAGGGTAATAATGAGGTTTGTTCCTAGCCGCAGACATCTGCGGTCCGTAGTTTTGCAAATATCTCAGCATTATTGTAGTAGCATGTCGTTAGAATTGCGTTTTTGCATCATTGCTTTCTAATCATGACTGTCGATTGTGTCATCGAAAGCACAGGGGAGGATTCTCCACTACTAACCTTTGTTTAGGAATTGGTTCGTGTGCGTTGTGCTGAGCATCAATTCGCCGGTCTCCCTTCACAAATGGCTTCCTTTCTGATAGAAGCAGAAATGTTTCTCTCTCTTCTAGAACTACTCGTAGAAATGACGGTTGTTCCTCAAAGATATGCGCAAACTGTTCTCAGTATTCGTTCTGTGATTACCGAGACTGAAAGGTATTTCATCGTAGTATGGCATGTCTATTACCGTATTTACTGGATGAAAAGTGCACTGTTGCTCGTACTTTTTATGAGCCAACTTGAAGTTTCTGATTTCTGAATAATCGTGTGGTCTATTATGAATCGTGTGATTTGCAACATAATTTCCAATTGACTGATATTTTGTTGGCTGGACAAAAACTTCAATACATATTCCCGAGACAGCGTGCGGTCTCCGGCCTTTGTGAATAGAGGTGATATATGCGACATTGGGATCGGCTATGCTCCCAGCAGATGCGATTCCTAGCTTAGGTATACCCCTAATTGGGCTTCTTTGTGGGTGCTCAACTTCGATGAATGCACCAAAGGATGGGCATCCTGTTCTACATAGCGATTCCAAAGGGTTGTTAATAAAATATATTAGGTTCGGAAATTAATATGGGGTTTAAACCTATCTTCTTCAAGGTGGCGTATCCCAGCTCATAATGGATTTTATTAGTTGAAGTGAAAATCTTTAGAATCTACACATCTTTGTTAACCAAAGGTATCTTTGATTGTGCCGGTAACATAAGATTCTGTGCTTTAGACGATGAAGTTGAACGCAGTTTCGGTCTCGGTTTCTGAAGCATTTTTCGCACAATTTGTCGAGCTGCTTGAGCAGGTGACATTTGATAGGTTAGATATACTGCATTTATTGCGGTTGACGCAGAGTTCCCTAGACCAGCTCGTTCATCTGTGCAGAAAGCCGCGCGTGATCGTCGAGGACTGATGCCTTTCCATCGACCAATAGGAAGCGCAGACGTTGATGTTTGTGGTGCACTTCGTCGAATTACAGGACTTACTTCTCCGCTGTAGTTGTTTCAACTGAATTAATGAGACCGTGATGGTCCAAACGGGCTGAGGAGCACCAAACAGCATGGTTTTCTTCTGGTGCAGTTTGGGTTTAAGAAATGCTTCAAAGCTTCGTGGCGATCCATCCACATATTCGAGCTTCGCCTGTTGTCATAGAGGATATCACAGTACGGTTGAAAAATGGGTCGTTACGGTTTAAGAAGAAGAAGGACGTTGCCTCAAAACGGCGTTTTCTTCTATTATCATTCGATTCGTGCCGCATCCATTTGTCAAGTTTCTTCGGCTTTCCAGTTATCTTTAAAAGAGGATGACGTCCGTGACCTTCCTTATCTTTAAAGTCCAATTTGCCACGATGAAGTTCTCCATGTCAACATTGCGTCGTTCATTTGTTAACATTTCCTTGGCTCTATAGCTCGTTAATGTTTCGAGCCGTTTTTGTTTCACTACGTCCGAGTTTGAATTCATAGAAATACAGTTGTCTAAATTGGTGTTTTGTTATCTGAAGTTCTAAGCTCTGAAGTATTTTAGAAACAATTAAGAAAGCTATTGGAGAGAAAATACTGAAACATGTCCAACAAAAAAGAGATTATAAAGCCAACGATAATTTCCGCATAACCTAGTAAATTCCACAGTTGTGGATAGTAAGTCCTACCATTGTGAAGTTATCAATAATGCCAGCCGATGGATTAGACGAAAACATAATCTTTGATGCCAAGGTTAGTAGAAGTTGGATGGATGAAGTTGTTCGTGGCAACAAAATCATGTACTTTCAGCCGATGGCCTACCGTTGGAGCACCGAGTGATCAGGCACTGTCCTTGATCGCTGATATTCAGGAATCGTTGGAAGGAATTACAGATGAGAACAAAAAGATCCTCTCTATTGGCAAATTTGGACATCTTCTTATAACACATGTACCAGTTTTACCTAATTCGTTCCCAGACGTCGCCAGTATACGCTCCAAATGTGCGCAGGTATCTATCACAGAGTGTGACCAGTCCTTAGTCACTCCCCGCCACCTTTCATTGTTGCTGTACCACATTCTCTGCAGATTTCCGAGCCCAACCGTGACGTTGCCTTGGAGAAACCTCTTCGCTTCGTAGCTGGCTTGCCGTGCGCTGTCAAACTGGTGGCATCGCTCCACAATCTCGACGAGAACGATCTGCGTAATCTTCGAATACAAGTGAGAGTGTATAGTATATTCAGCATTACCTTAATTTCATATATATATATATATATATACATATATATGAATAAGTCTATACGTAAATATATATATATATGTACATATATATATATATATATATGAAGGATAAAAAAAATCGTTGGTGGTGATTGAATGCATATCTCGCCTTTACAATGACTGACGGTGGTATACCGATATATCGGACTAGTGTTGCTATCTTCTCAGCAGGTCTGACTCCAATTTGCCTACCCCATATGGATAAAAGGTTTGGTGAGCCTTAGGTGCAGGGATCGATCCCATTTGTATTGCAGGGCGCCTCCGACCACTGCGCTACATGCGCACATATATACGTACATATATGTATGTATATTTGTATATATGCTATCGATACGGAGTGTAAAAGTGTGTAAATAGATCAGATCGCTAGATGCAAGTAGTTCATACGCTGAATCGACTTGTGTCCCAAGGCAAGTAGATCGCTTTTGATCCATGTTCTCTGGCATCCACCAACCGAGGACAAATAACTTGGTTTCACGGCTAGTGGGTTCCGTGCGTGTATATAATGAGGATCTGTGCGAGAAAATATGCAGATGTCAATAAAGCACATTCTAGAGGAAACTCAGCGACTACCCATCTTAAATGTAACTAGTAAGCAGTCTGCGTACATGTGCTTGCATAGACTGAAACGTTTCGCAAGGCCTCACCTACTAAATTGGCTGCGGGATGATGGTAGATGCATCCAAGGAAGTCGTTGTCGACCATTTTCATTAGCGAATGATATATATTGGAGCTATACCAACATTAGCACTACTGTGGCTAGAATTATTGATGGCATTTATCGTAATTCGTCGCAGCTCTACAGAAGAGTTTACCAAATACCAGAGTTTGTTAGTTATGAGTAAACGAAGGGTTCGAAAGCTGTTCACGAGTCCAGGGTGTGCATGCATTTCTTTTTACTTTTTTGCTTTCTGGCTGTACACACTTCGATGCTTCCATGGTTTACATTTTCTTGTGGGCCGTAGGCACACAACAGGGTCCACTTGTTACATGATGTTTTTCGTAGTTGCATGCAGCTCCATTTCTTTAGAGGAAGTAGATGGTTTCTTTATAAGAGATATAATACTTCCGATGTTAATCGATTCGTAGTACAGGTTACTACCTCCTTGTGCTATGATAGATGTTCTTATGCAGGATGTGAATGACTGAAATTTGCCTTCAAAAGCAGCAGTTTCTAGTTTATCTGTCGTCGATGTGTTGAAGTAGTGAGGAAATTTGTTTTGAGAAAGCAGCGCTTGGAAGAGAAGTGTTTGTCTATAATGTCCTCTGCAGATCATTCCTTGTTCATCTCCCAATCGCTTGAAACCTACCGAGCTATTTCTGGTTTCTTTCTGTCCCGCCTTCATGTTATTAGTTTGATACTAAAATATTGGGTGATTTTGTACAGCAGTGGTTTAACTCAGCTCAAGCACAACTTTATTAATGTAACAGCGATTGCCATCTACACATTTTTGTCAACAGTGCACAAGGTTACGTGGCTGTAGATATTCATTACGAACTGTTAATGGACTCCCACGGCTTTCTTCCTCATCATGAGTGATATTCTTGGTATGAAAGTTTTTGAGCATCTATGCATTTTCATCCATAGCGAGGTTTGGTGAACAGTGACCGAGGGACGAGATCAAATCAATGGTGGATCTATTAAATTATGTGGGCCTAGTACGCCCGACTGTACTACTGAAAATTTTCCAATAAAGTTTTCCTTTGATGGTGATGTTTTTCATGTTAGACAAGTGATAATTCCAAATACTGACTTTTCACTAAATTTTTCAGCCATCATTAAGTCTATGCTCAGTCATGTACTTTCACAACCGTAATGAAAAAAAGCTCAAAAACTAGCTTTTGTCCGCATATTAAACAGCCTCCTTAAAACACCGCTTTTTTGCGTCCTCTGCTGATGACTTCGCCGAGTACACTGCACATCGTTATGATCTTTTCCAGGTTCAAAAGAAGGCAAAATCCACTAAAACGTTAACCATTATCGCGTTAAAAATGTCGTGTATGTTTATCAAGAAAACTTGAAGGTATATGAGCAAATTCCTTGGCGCTCCTGTTTCCGTCTAGGAAACCCTATGTCCGTTGTGGATACGATTCTAATTCTGTATATTTATGTCTAGGAAATTGTGTTATCTTCACGTTACTTTATGACTTTGTCACGTTGACTTAAACTTTAATGCCATATATTACTTGGAACTTCATCTATAACGTCTCCTTATAACGTCTAAGTCCTCTAGCTTGAACTATGACGGTTGCGGAACAGTGTATTGGATTTGTGGAAACTCAAAGTGAAACAGTAACAGCAATACTTCTTCTTTACAACAACCCCGTGTAAGCCTAACAATGCAGAAACTGTTAGAATTTGAATGGGAAGATAATCTAACTGTTCTGATCTTTGAATTTTTCCAAGTTTGAATTTATAGGTCAGTTATCCTGACAACACAAATGGAATCTTCCGCCCTCTCGCGTCCGACATCTCAATAGAAAGCAATTCTGTTTCATCCCTGGTAGAGTTGCGATTTCTCTTTTTGTTTTCCATGTTTAAAATTACCCTTTTACAATACCACATGAGCCGAATGGCTGGATTTTGTTGAATAGGCACTGGGACGAAAATGCAACAAAGTTATTACTTACGCATAACTTCTATTTCGTCTACATACCAATTGTACTGACCTGAAAATGCTTAAATCTAACTCAGTATCCGATATCCTAAGACGAGCACTACTGCGGTGTCTTTCATAGGTACTGCTGTCATCTTCTGAAGCATGGAGTGACGCTGCCGATGTGACTTTGACTCTTGTTCTGCGGTCAGATTCGTTTCATAAGGATATTTTTGGTAATTACTCAATTTGTACGATTTATTTTAGGATGATTATAACTGTCGTATAGGTCATTTTTGATAAGGTAACGCTTGCTTCGGTTTTTTTAATCGACTTGTTATTCCAGTGCCACTGCTTGAATCACCCAGCGGTGCCCAACCGGCATCAGTGCAAATACGGGTTCATCCAATGTCAAGAACTTGAACGCTTGCCAAGGAATATGAAATGTTAACTTGTAGACATATTGATGTAAGGAAACGGTTCACTATAGGAGATCACTGGCGTTCGTGTATATGTGAACATGTCAGTGGAGAAACGACTAATTCAACGTTCATGTTTAAGATGATTTACACATATTTCAATGTATATCAGTTATAAATTCATGAAAATACAATTGAGATCTATTCGTAGAGACGAATGAGTTACGTAAACTTTATGTCAAGAACCCGTTCTGTATTTACCCCTGTATTACTGGTGTGATAAAGCGGTTTTCATGGTTTGACACTGTCACATTACTGTTATGGGTTACGTACAGCATGTGAGAATTTAAAGTAAGTTTAGAAGCGAAGTTGATGACTAGTAATGGAGGCAAGACATTTCACTTGCAACTTATGCATAGAACAGAATTCATGCGAAATGAACTTCAGTTCCTAGAGGATCATGTGAGATAAGTTCTAGACACGTTACTGTCATTCTGAATCATTCTTTATCACAGTTAGTACACGTTCTAATCACCTTTGATATAGTTGAATCTATCACTCATAATCAAAGCTTAGTAGGTTTTCTACAAAGACCAACAAATACAAGCCTAGGGGATGGGATACCACCGGGTCGTTATTCCATTTGAATCGTTGAAAGAGCAGGATTTATAGTGATCTTATCTCCTTTTCCAAAGTAATCAGTATGTGTTGGCGATTCTAGCAATTGGTCATTGAATATAGGGAAGTGCAACTGACCATTATGTACAGGGCTTTCCGTCAGTGAGATCGTATCGCTTTCTCCTGGAATGGGAACGCATGAAGTCAAGAAGTTTCATGCTTATGTAAGAGGCGAACGAATAACCTATTAAGTTTTCTGGGAGATAGCAGCAGTGGTAATGACAATTTGGGAAGAGTATTAGTTCATACAATGTCCCTAAAGACCTGAAGTCGATAAGAACCACCACGAGAAAACGTACCGGTATTTGAGGAGTCGATTTGATCGACATCAGATCCTTCGTCAGGGACCTACAAGGTGCAGCATAAGCTCGAAATAGTAGAAAGATGGATTTTCGAAATATAAGGATTCGAGGGTATCCCTCTTAGTACATAACTCAAAATATCACTGCTTTGTGATGGATGACTGCGACTTTTCTCCCACCTAAAAATATCAAATCATTGTCCAACCTTGATCAAAGACTGAGAGGAAGGACAGTTGTCGGTAGAAAGCCGTTCAATATATTCGCCTTCTTCTATTTCATCATCATCCCCTAATCTTTCGTTCGTGAAGACGGGAGTGCTTGGCTCTTCCAAGAATTCACCTGGCTCCGGACTGTCCGTCCGAGATTCTCCGCAGAGTTCTTCAATACCGTCGTAGGAATCGATAAAATATGGCTCATTTCCTATTACTTGAAATGCAGGACTGCGCTCCTTGTGTTCATAAACTTGTTTGCTCGTTGAAGGCTGGTCAGCATCCCATAGAGCTGCGACTTGTTTTTGAAAAGCTAGGACCTCCTCATATGAAGGAGCGATTGGTCTGTGGTAAGCACGACAAACAGACATTTTGTGCTTATGAAAGTACTTAGCGTGACGGAATATCGACTTGCAGCACCTGCAAATGTAGTTTTGAACAATCCAGTAGGAGATCACATGAGGTTTGTTAAAGAAACAAAACCCCAGTAGCAACTTTAGGTCTTACCTGCACTCCAGAAGCAAATTACAACTGTTTCGCAACAAATGACTGACCTCCTCCGTACCGTTTTCAAGGGCATTAATCAGTCCTGTCGTAGCTGAATAATGTGCTTATTGCCTTCAAAACAAGGAACATCGACAGAAATTTATGCAAAACCTCCCAAAGGTTTAGAACCTCATCATGGCTGTGAGGTGTTCCTAGGTGTTGGGCTGCGGTGTACAGCGGGGGTTCATCCCTTAGCTAGGTCTCCCAAGTTGAGAAAGAGTCCAGCGTTTCCATCAGGAAGCCCAGCTAAGAGTAAACCAATAACAGGATCCACCACCGTCCTACCACCAAACTAGTCGCACAGTGGCAAATTCCCCAATAATCTACAAAGGCTACGACTGCCTGGGGTGGTGACGACTTGGGGCAGACTTTGGCTAGGCTAACCTCAAGACGCCACAGAACCACGGTAGCCTAACCAGAAAGACTCAAAAAAATGGATGTTATGCTAGGGCCCGCAAAACTAGTGAAGACGGGCCATTCAAGTATCAAATAAGTAAGTAATTTATGCAAAAAGCCATGTTTTCATGAAAAATAAGACTTTATGAAAAAATATGAGCCGTCGTTAAGAGTGGAAATCACAATGTAATCACTTTTTATTTGCTGCCTTTTCTTTTTCCTTCAAAAGGGTAACAGCGTGTTCGGCCCGCCGCATAGACCTGCGGTCCAGAGTTTTGCAAATATCTCAGCATCGTTGTGGTTAAAAGCAGAGTTGAATTCATATTCATGAATTCTTTGATATAGGTAGGAACGATCGCTAACATTTCTTCCCTATACCACTTTCAACGGAATTCAAATCTCCGAGTTAATTATTACTAAGTACTTTTATCTACAGTCCACTCTCTAAACAACAGTAATTAACCCCATTAATACTCATTGATTTATTGGTTTGAACGCATTTCAATTAACACAATAACCAAGCGACTCACTATCTAACGATGTAGGTATCTGAGGAAATAATGTGCTGATGTCCTCCGAGTAGTGTGAGGACATCTTCGTTGAATTTCAGAAGATCCTACGAAGGAACAGAAGTAAGTTCCTAAAACGTATGAGCTTCTAAAGATAGAAAAAACAACGTCATTTGAATATTCAAGCAGCAATGATAGAGCAGAGGTATTATTTAGAAAAAAAGGAAATCGAAGAGGAGACACTTTGTTATGGAAACATCTGGATTCTGTACGAAGTAGTAAACCTATGGATTTTCCCTTCTTCATTTTACATTACTGAATGGCCTAGTAATTTGCATTTCTTCACAGTAGCCCACGGATCGCTATCTATGAAGCAGCAACCAAAACTGCGCAGATGCCAGTTACTTCCTAAGCATTCAATAAGGATGGAGTTCTATGGCCAAAGCACTTGCTTGACTGCCATATCTCCCAATTTAAAAGCCTACTCATCTAAACCATCTCGATAGGAAACGCCACTATACGGAAAGAGATAACCGACCAATACTTCAACCACTTGTTAGTGTAGAAGAGTACAATGGAGAACAGATCTCAACGACCACAATGGAGGACAGGATCGAACGACCACAACGACCTCTACACGAACTCATATGTCTAGCCATGAATCCGTGAAGATCTGACTTATAAGTCTATGCACCTCATATTCGATTGAAGTTGGCGGCTAGAACAATGGCGAGAAAAAAAAGGGAAGAAAATCATCCATATGCTTAGTTTCACACTTAGTCCAAGTCGTTGGTATGGGGTTTTCCTTATCAGTACTGAACTAACGATTCACTAAAGTCAAATGCGAGGACATGACTGCAAGAGTGCTTGGCGTTGTCCGAACTGGTGTGCTCAAGAACAGGAAGCGGAGCCACGAAGTTCGGCGAGCGTCAGCTAACCTTGTACTGCATAGATGACGGATTTTTTTTCAGAATGGTGTCGTTCACACATCAGTGAGGCAGAGAGATTTCGAATTACACAAGCACGCTACTGATCAGTACCTCTGAGCCAAATGAATCCATTAGCTAGAAAACCACGGTGATTGTGAAATATTGAGAACTGTTCGAACAGTTCCGAATAGAAAGTTAGAATCGCAGTACTTTCCAGAATAAAGGTTTTCCAAGAAGTCGATAAGTAAGGAAACCACAACGCGATATTTGGCGCTTGTAAGTACAAAGTGCGGACATTTCAAAGCAGTGCACATTGAAATCGAAAGACCACCGACGACGTTTTACATTAATGACAGGGAAGTCCGTACGGCTGCTAGTAATGCTGAGTGAAAACACTTACTGTGGTACTTCAAAGGTGCTTTGACCAAGTTCGCGTAACCCTTAAGAGAATGAGCGTCGAGAGGTATCCCGAGAAAGCAGATGGTCCCGGAGCACATGATTGTCGACTGATTCTGAGTCCATTCATGGTTAAGTTAGCCGTGAACAAATGGAGCGAATTAATCCGGCCTCAGTACACCCAACAACTTATAACTGGTAGCTATGTGGACTCCCAAAGAAAAGAAAGTCGAAGAACTCGGGACAACCCAGTGTGTTTGGCCAATCGTTGTGTTTTTTGCCCTAAAATGTAAATTGCGCTAAACTGTCTGATTGAGAAGTCGAAACACTAAGGTGTTGTTCATTTAGGACAAAGAGAACTCAAAAGTAAACCATAAAAATCAAATCACTTCAGTTTTAACCATTCTGTAACAACATTTTAACACTACTCGTAGATTATGCTATTAGTATTGCGGCGACTCGCTTCCAACTTTCTGGTTACATAAAAGCTGACGAACATGGAAGACAACAGTGATGGGAAACAGGTCTAGAGATGGTTGTACTGAAAACAGTACGCTCATGTACTTCCTCGGGCTGAGAAACGCTTGGTCTGCAGGACATCAGGAGTCCTGAGGTGAGCTGAGCCAGATAAAAGGGCTCCACGGTGAGCTCGGCTGGAGCTGCAGCAACAGTCTACGCCTAGACGCTCCACGCTTCTCACGGAGCAGTTCGAATCGGTTTGCCTGCATGGACAGGACCCTAACATTCACGAAAAGAGTTTTACTACCAAATTAAGTAACTGCTCAAGTAAATATGAGGTAGAGAAGTGTTAGCGTTGAACAACAGAACTAGTTAGAAACTGCTTATAAATCGACTGGACAGGTGTAGACGTACAGCCTGTCGCCTTTCAGGACTTGAACCTCTTCAAATTTATGACGAAACGAAACACGTTTACTTTAAACATTGTGGCACGTGACAATACAGAGGTTGGCGAAGGAAGCAGAATTTCTGGATCACATGACTGGGTCCTGACTTTCGAGCCAAACGGCATTTCTAAGGAAAGTTTCTTTCTAAGTTCTTTTCCCTACAAGGCATCGAATGTAGTTCGTTGGGGCTTACAGATACGACAAGTAGACTGCGAGTAGTTGCAAATCATCGAATACGAACTGCAAAGCCCGGTGTCTCCTGTGTTGTCTTGTTCTCCCATCGTTCTTCAAGAAATTCGGTGACGTTTCAGTTTTTCAGAAGCTGGTCTCATAATCTCCTACGTATTTATACACCATGCTTGAAGAGCTCTATGAACATGAAGACCTCTACGGACGTGTTCAGATCCGGACACAAGGCCAGTTCTCAGGCATGCTTTGGACAGCTCACACAGGGGCATTTGACACCATCATTGAACCCATATCGTACTTTGCTTTTCATTTCATTGAATTCTCCGAAGATATTTGCTAAAATCAACTCTGTCCCAATCATTAAAATCTACTTGAGATAGATCAGACGCTTTTCGGATACTGTGGAATCGGTACGTCCGCAATACACCCGACTTCCCGTCCGTGGTTCTGCGACGCCTCAGTTTGGACGTATTGGCGGCAATATAGGACTGTTTAAAGATTGGTGGCCGTCGAAGCATGGATCCAGAGCACTGCGAGTTTCTAGCTGAGGATGAACTGATTCAAGTAAGTGGTAAGTTCCATAAAGGACTTGTGTAGTGGAGTGGTCGGAGAGACCCTACAATGCAAATGGGGTCGATCTCCGCCCCTAAGACTCACCAAGCCTTCCATCCATTCGGGGTTGGCAAATTGGTACCAGACTTGTGCGAGAGGACAGCAGCACTGGCTGCATACATCGGTGGGCCACCACGATTCACTGTGTAGGCCAGATATGCATTCAATCACCTCCAAGGATGCTTGGTGAAGTCGAGTGCATGACGCACCCCTCAGAGTTTGATCACCGCCGAGAGCTTTGTCCTTTTTATCCCTTAAGTGGTTAGTTCCTTAAGTTATCACATGGTTACATTCAGTACTTTTTTCATCCTTAGCGTTTTTATTTTGTGTTTTGTCCATTTAAAATCCTTGTTAGTTGTCTGCTTATGTGCTATCGTTTTAATGGCTGTGCTGTGCTCTTCCAGATCATTCCTCGTAGAAATGAACCTGTCATCCACCTTGTGTGTGGTGATGTTGGACCGCTAGAAGCAGGAGTGCCTGTGAATGTTCCTCTTTGGCTTGCAATTGATCTCAGAAGGAAGCAACAATGTGAAATTGTGGTTAGTTCGGTTTGTTACTATTGCCAAGTAGATTCGTGTCTAGAGTGAATAATAAGCTCAGGGATGTTTCGTTATATCCATTAAGTGTTGCGGATTCGCATTTGAAGTGGTTTTACACTTTGCAATTTTTTTTTCCACAAACTTCCTTCACTCTGACGGTATCTAGTCGCTGTGGTTAAGTCCTTAAGTCATCTATCAACAGTCGAATTCTTTCAGCAGTATAGGATAAGAAAGCACCTTAGTATAGTTCTTGTATGCGTATTCCCTATCTTAAGTGTTCAGTACTAAGGACTTAAGTCCCTTCTGAACTTCTGTTCGATGCATCTTCCTACTAATGGAAAACGAGTATCAGTGTGAAATGCCACTTAGTCGCAGTTCTATGTTGTTCGGATTTTCGTAAGAACCGGACATTTACTACTTCTAGGGAGGTTATTGTGTTCTTGCACGCATTAATTCATGGGAACCCTTCGTAGAATATTGTGGAGTTGGATATTTCTACTTCCTGAAAACTCCATAGCTGCATATTGGCGTTTTGATTTTCTATCGGGCATGTTGGTTGCCAAGTGGAAGTCTTATATGCTTATTTGAAACTAATAATAGTAAGAGTGAAACATTTACTGTAAATATTTACATTTTTATGACCTACCCATCTAGGTTTCCCACTATTCGCCGTCAGGATGTGTCATGCAGAGCTGTACTTACTGTCGAGTGTTATCAAAGTCGCTTCAGTTTCAAGAGTTCCTTGTCGAAGTGTCATAGTTCCCTTAGTTATAGGAGTTTCTTCCCGAAGTGTCACAATGTGTTGATAATCCTCACCACCCCTTTCCCCATGTTTGAGTTGTTCATATTTAACAAATTTTTTGCAAGAGCAGTTTTATTCGTACACTACTGTGAACGTTATAAGCTTTTTCGAGAGCTACATTTGTTTGCTACAGACATTTTGGAGAGCATGAAGTTCTTGCTCATGAAGAATTATGCGGTTTTAATCTTTATAGACATTCCAAATCTGCAATCCGAGGTCTCTTTACTTCAGCCACCACATTGGTTCTGTCTCGAAGAGTTGAAACGAATAGTTGCCATGGAAGGTGACACGGTCGGTCTTTCCCGACTTCCTTCGTATATCTTTGAAATTTCCAACATATTAGTTCGAGCTGCAAAAGAAGACATTGTTAATGGAGATCAGGTACTTTTGTTTTCTGCATTGAAGCACAAATTGCCTACAGTGACATTGAAATTATGCCGACCTTCTAAAGTGGTTTAAGAAATACGAAAGAAAATGGGTTCAATATGTATAACGGACTAGTATAGTCATTACTAGCTACTTCTTCACATATTTATGCTTCTAGATAAAAGTGTTGATGCAAGACTTATGGGATAAGCGGGAGGCCAAATTACGGACCTCGTCCTTGAAGCTTCTTTCTCAGGTTCGTCTGTTTTTTCTTCCTACGTAAACTGTTAGTGATTCTTCCAGCATACACATGCCCATGTTCGTCTTGATGCCGTACAACCACTAGAAGTGACTTCTATTCGTCCCAATCTATCCGCTTGTAAGGAAGTTGCCAAGCTCGTCCGCAATGCTCATAGTGTTCAACCTGATTAGCACTTTTTGACATAAAGTTATGCCAAATTCTACCATCGTCCAGTTTGTTGTTAATACGTGCTTTGTTTCGTGTGTAATCATTTTATCATAGTATTTTCTGCTAACTATACTGGTGTGCTGCTCATTCCTCTGACTTTCAAAGTTTTGTTTTCTGATTTGGCTGAGGTGTTAAATACAATTACTGATTGTTGGTAGACTATCTTGTGTGTTAGTCTTATTTTAGTTCCTGACTGAGGATGTTGTGTGTGTTATTGTGTGTGTAGTTCTTCCACTATGTCTAAAAGTGGGGATCCGCGTAACTTGTGAGGTATTCTGTAAAGCTAAAAACATGAATTCGACGGTATCCCTGCTTCCATAAGTTTGAGAAAGAGGATTTAGTGACTGGAGCGCTACTGTTGCATTTATTACTCTAGTTACCTGTTGCTGTAACATGTACTTAGTATTGTGTTACAAATACTATCTCACATGTCCCACAGGAGAGGTGGGAGTTTCTAACTTTAGCATGTTGAAATTAACTAATGTATCGTTCAAACCCTGTGATTTCACTTAGTACACCTGCGCCAATGTGCATTGATTCCAATGGGTAGCCATAAACAGATTTGCGTATTAAGTTGGACACCAAATAAACAATATGACATTGTTCGGAGTTATTGTAGTCTAGTCGAAAATAAGTCTTTCTCAACTCGGACCAAAGGTATCCTACACCCATGGTATGCTGTACTAATTGAGATACGACCGTTGGATTCAACAGACTTCGTCAAGGGGAAACGAGCTCCTTTTACTACGAAATAAATGCTGATCTCCTCAGCTTTTATACTCTTCCGCCTTTCCATTCCAGCAGGACATATTGTTCCCTTGATCTACCGCGGTCGCTCTTGCACGAAATAGTCTAATGAACCGTATCTCTCCCTCTTTCTTTAAAATCTGGATCTGTAAGGAATAGGCGATAACATCTAAGTCATTTCTATACAGCATTAGGTCGATAATTTCTTCTAGATTCCCATTAAGTTTTAAGCTTCTCAAGTACTGAGTTTTGGAAAACGTTTAAGTTATGAAGAAACCGTCGTACCTATCAGGAAACCTGTATCGTCTGTTACTCGTTAAACAGTGAAATCACAGCTGTGTTGAACTTTATTGAGAATTGGAAACTATGTTTTTTATCGATGAGATACAAGTGCTACTATTACCAAGAAATAGTTATTACTTTAGAGCATACAACAGTCTTTCGCTTCTTGTCATCAGGATTCGTATTTCTAACTGCAACGAAGAGAAAGTACAAAGAAAATAGGACCTCATACTACGAAGTAACATCGAGTAAACAATCGTTTTATGTTGGTGCAGTGCTCGCTAAGCGAATTTAAGAAATCTGAGTCTTATCAGAAGTCATCGAAAAGCATGCATTATTACGATGTCAATCTGCAGCTGAATAAGGAATACCTCAACGTCACAAATATCCACGCAGAAGACGCCATCACTCACAAGGTAAAATATGAAAACTCTCGGCGCTGATCAATCCCTGAAGGATACGCCACGCATCCGGTTTCATTCAACATCGTTGGAGGTGACTGAATGCATATCTGGGTTCTAGGCAAGTGCTGCTACCCTCCCAGACGGGTCTGGTATCAATTTGCTGACCCCAGACGGATGCAAGGCTTAATGAGTCTGAGCAAGGGGACCGATCCCATGTGTACTCCAGGACGTCCCCGACCAGTTCATTACACGTAACCCTCAAAGTACAGGTACACTCCTGTGAAATGCACCTTAACACCTCATAATATCATATATGTATAATATAATTGTAACCAACTACCTTTCTTACATATTCTTCCCTTGATGTTTCGAAAAACTACGCTTGCTTCAACTATGGTCAGTCCTAGTGGAACGTTGTCCTTTTTATGTCTCCTTCTAACAGGAACCACTAAGTGTCACACTAGAGAAGTGTGACAAGCCAACATCTTTCCACAATAAGTTAGTCACGCAGAGATTAAGATTCAGAAAGAATTATTTCTTGTCTCATGTTTTACTAGCTAGGTCAAAACATTTATAGTCACAGACTTACAATGGTCAGTGTTCACACCGACAGTGTGAAATAAAGCAAAAAAAATCGCTCGTAAAAATAAGATCAGTGAAAAAACACTTTACAGAAAAAGTCAGTCAGTTTACACTGATCAACTCGATATCAAAAATCAAAGTTGAATTCGGAGGGATGGCTCCAGACACACCACTAGAGCCGTACCCTAGGTCGGGAGAAATTGTTAGTTTGGCCCGTTGCCCAACAGACATCTGAAAGTAAGCATATTGGAATAAACTAGGTAACTGTTAAAGACCACTTTAATTTGGTTATGAGCAAATGGAGAAGTTATGCAAACTCCAAGCCGAAGAGAATACGAATAAAAAAACCAACCTGGGCTACACCTTGATCCCATCCTTTGATAACTTCTCCCTTTCCTATCTTGAACTTAAAAGGCAAACCACGATCGCGGGAGCTATCCACCTAATCAGTCAAACTCATATAAAACTTTACATATTTCAGATAGATTAGAAACAAGATGCAACCACTCACCTGTTTTCCATTCTTAAGGGTAAGCACGTAATGACACGTTACAGTTTGCCCATTTTTGGGGAAAGTTTTACCTGAAACAAAGTTTTAGAGCAGGATAAGGCTATGCCTAGCAAAACTTTCAAGAATTACGCAATTACATAAGGAAGAATAGGAAAATCGCAATATATAACATCAGAAAAGAACTCAGTATATTGCATACTACCTTACTAAGAGCAACCGTCCCATCAGGAAGACTAGCAAAGAGTAAACTAATACCAGGACCCACCATCGTCCTGGTATCAAAGACCCATAGTGGCAAATCTCCTATTCACAAGGCCTGCGACTGTCTTTGATGGTGACGATCTGGAGCTGACTTTGGCCATGATGATCTCGCGATTCCAGGGAACCATAATAGCTTATCCATCAAATCTCCAAAATGGTAATTACGCCGGAGCCTGTACAACCAGTGAGGACGGGGCGCTCAAGTATTAAGTAAGAACAACCAATCAGACACAACAACAGAGGAAATGAACCGCTCTGAACTTCTGGCCTGCTGATGCGAATTAATGTGCCAGAAGCATCGAGACAGAAGGACTTCGTCAACAAAGAAACATCGAGCATATACTTTTCGTAAAAACGAGGCAATGCCGTTCTCCCGCATAAATTTTCAGACGATACACACAAACATCACCATACAACAAGCAACACCATAGAGAAAAAGTGAAAAAGGAAAAAAAACGTACCATCTCCGGCTTTGATGACTTCGATGTCGACGCCCATTACGATACGAGCCGCTACGATGAGACAAGAAAAACAGTGATACACACCTGAATCGCATGAGGATTACTAACATAAACAACCAACAATGAAACCTAAGAGAGGCAAGGAGGAGCTGGCTGTACGCCCCTCACTAGGTGTAAACAAGCCGCAATGACGTACACGAAGGCCACCGCGATTGACGTTACGGTAGTCTAATGTGCGGGACCAACCGCACGAGAAGGTCATCTAACCTTTAATAGCGGACGTGAAGGCCGGATGACATTCTCGGAGTCGGTGTTGTTGCTTAATTTTTGTTTTGTGGTGCTACATATCTCTACAGGGAGTAACAATACTGCTATTTTTGTCGAGATTACGGATATTTTTTCCTTGTAGGGTCAGACTTTTCGTGCTAAGTAGTCAGTAAGTTGAATAATTCTTTGTTGATTCAGACGACATAGTGACTTAGGGGAACCGAGTGGTTGAAGGCTTGTTTTTTGGCAGAAGTTTGTTCCCCGTTGGCTAGAATGTCGATTTCGTGCACATTTTGGTTCGCATACGCGCTGACATTGAACGAGTAACTGTGAAAGTGGAGGCGAATAGAAGTAAACCAACGAATACGTCGAAAAGATTACCATTGCCTCCATCGGTACTTGCAAACGCTCATCCTGACTTTTAAATGAAGTAGACATTTTGCAAAAGAATTCGCCTCTTGCGTATCGTAGCTTGATTTTAAATGACAGCAAAAGTAAAAAGAGCGATAGAGCTCCCGACGTTGATCTATCCTCCAAGGATGCGCCATGAATTCGAATTCATTAAGCATTGTTGAAGGTTCTTGAATACATATCTGGCCTTCAGAAGGACTCTAGGGGCCTACCGATGTATCGAGCCAATGCTGCTACACTCCCAGACAAGTCTGCCGACCCCGGAGGGATGAAGGGCTTGGTGGGCCATGGTCGCAGTGATCGATTCCACGTGTGTGCGTTGCAGGGTGCCTCCGACCACTGCACCACAAGCGCCCTAATTATTAATGATTAATAGGGAGGTTAAAAGGAAGTTGGTCCCTAGATTAGCCGCGTGAAGTACCAGCAGGACAATTCCGATTTGTCTAAGTCTTATCTTAGGGAAGCCGTGTCACTAAGACAGAAGGTTGCCTTAGCGAGAGAAGCGTTGTACTTCCTCCGCCACTGCCGAAAACAGCGAGTGGTCCTGAAGTTCGTCAGACGAAAACGACCACGCGATGTGTGCGGTCTACCAGAGAACAGTTACCAGGTACTGCACATCGAAATACGACTACTCCGCGCCCCTCCGGTACAAGCAGGACTGCATGTGGCCTCAATTGAAGAGGTGCGAAGAGAAGGAGGCCTACCGTGTTTAGCATCTGGGAGATCACCTTTGGACGAGACTAACGAGGGAGTCAAAATAGACTTGAAACTCTATTAGTTCGATGCTAAAACAAACAAACAAACAGAAAATTCGAAAATATACGGAATAAATCACAGAGATCAGTTTCAGTTAAACAAAGAGGTAGCCTTTAGGACAGGCCTGAGAGTCAAACTAGGGTCGATAACGTGCCAGAAAAGTCAAGGGTCACCATGTTAGGAGGTCTAACTGTTCTTGCCGGCGCTCGCTCGCTATTAGAATTGGGTCCCAATTTCTCACCGCTACACCACACTTTTAAGTAAGCGTTGCCTAGCTCCACCACCTACTCTATTACAGAGCTGTAATTGAGTCATTAAATATGTATGAACAGCAAGAAATGTGGACATTAGCATCAGCTCCTTTTCGTCGACCGTTCTTTGGATAACAAGACCCAGACGGCGAAGCAGACCCCAATTTCCATATATCTTCGCGCGAAGCCCTAATAATCCCTAACGACTATTGCAAGAAAACGTTTAGCTTTAACTTCACAGCAGCACAAAGACGTTGTTTGCGATAGACTCCAGAACTTGTAAGATCGAAAACTATTAGACTATCAATACTAACATTTTATTTGCTGCCTACTATAATTTTTCACGGCAGGGTATAATGCGAAATACAGCCATAATGACGTTGAGATATTTTCAAAACTCTGGACCTCTATATTAGATTATGTTAGTAGACTATCAGTAAGTAGTAAAGGTGGAGAGTTTGTGGTCTTCTCCAGTTAGATGTCAAAATGACGGAAAAACACCTAGAAGACTCTTCGCTTTATCGCTAATCGTCTGAAGAGGAATTCAAAGATCAATAGCAAAAACTGAACGCAGAGTGGTTCACAGTGGCAAAAGTACCAGCTGTAAAGCAATCATTTACTTAGCAACTCGCAAATTCCTATGAAGGAGTGGAAGCGACACGAACTGGCTCTCCTTCACTGGTACTCATTCTTGTTGCATCGCTTCTAAGCCCTTGAAAGTGGGCACGAAACCACCGGCTTCTGATCTACCGCTCCATCATCAGGCATTATGTTCTGCATTATATATTGTCTTACTAAGATTTATAAATCTTGGTTTCAGCTTGTATATAGTTCACTATCATTTGCAAATGAACATGCAGAATTATTTTATTATATACAGCTTAATAGTTGCAATAATCTCTTCAGAACCATCCAGAAGAACTGATAATAAAGGTAGACACCAATATAAAATCTAAAAGCTGTTAGCCGACTGTGATCGATTAAGACCCTTCTTAGAAGCTTTCATCTTTTCAATTAAGAGCAAGAAATATTCCATGGTGTATAGGATCGCAGCCATCAATCCGCAGTTCACTAAAAAAAAAAGAAAGAATTGTAGCCAGATAAGAAATAAGAACCAGCGAGCACACTTTTTGGCATATGCTGATATGGATAAATCATGGAGAATAAGGTTCTTAGCGTTGATAAGTCTCTGACGGTGCGCCAGGCATTTAACTAAATCAACAATCGTTAGATGTGATTAGAGGTAAATCCTGCCTAAAGATCCTTTGCGGTTAGTTGTCGATGTATTCTTTCTGTGCTGCTGCCCTCCCAGACAAGTCTGGCAACGAATTGCCGACCCCGGATGTTCGAACGATTGATTGATTAACCTGTTGAGCGCGATCGAACCAACAAGGACGTGTGTATCGCAGGCCACCTCTAAGCGCTGCGCTGGAGCGTTCCCAGTTGGATTGCAGAAAGCGATTTTTTCCTAGACAAATCCAGTATCAATTTCCCAACCACGGAGGGATGAGAGGTTTGGTTGGCATGGAGCGGAATCGAACTAACAATCGAGCAATCGAATCTATTGCTATAGAAGTGAAAATTGCTTAGAACAATATAGTCTATGGAAGTTGTACCCACGAAAAGCTCTTTCGAACAAAGAAAGTGCTTGAAAGAACACATTAACAATAAGTGAACAAATGAAGTAAGCGTTGAAACGAACGTAGTACTGCCGGTAGCGCCTTGGTCCAGTTACGGAACATGCGTTGACGCTGGGCTCGATGAAACGAATGCGGATAGCTCATTCGTCTAAATCGAAAGCAATAGCCCGTCCATAATCTGAGACATTTATGAGGTGGGATCTTCCAGCTATATTATGGTTACACATTCTTTATGAGCTTAAACACCTTTCTTATGAAATGAGGTTTTAAGGTTTTTCTTCAAACCCTGGTAAAATCACACTTTTGGGAACTTAGCAGTAAATCGTCGAACCCAGGCTTAAATCGTAAGCTGGACGTGATCACGAGATCCCAATCATTTTGTTTGGTTACGGGTGGTGGTGCGATATGGAACAGGAGAACTTGTAATCGTTATGTACTGGTATCTTTTGATTACATTGTGGATGCCGGTTCTATTGCACCCAAAGTCTCCATTCCCATCGACAGTCCATCGGACACCGAAGGCGTAGCGATTGGCAGCGAACCTGTATCGCCTACCACCTGTACCACCTGCCGTCCCATTAATCACCGAGTGACTTGAGCGTGCGCCTGAAAATCTTCCACTTCTCTCTGTCGAGTGCAAGTAAAGTGGACTCTGCTCACTTTGGAGATTTTCTGAGCTTTGGATGGGTAATCATTCTGCTGTGCGTTTGACATCCCGAGGAATCCAGTCCCTAAAGTCTTTTGTCAAACGGTTGCTATTCATGTGCATTAGGTGTTCGTTCCACATTATCGAAACTTCTATTCCCTCCTCTCAATTGCGTGATATGGAAGACTCTTAGCATCGTCCTTTCGACTGCGCGTTCAATAACGCTGAATGATCTTACTTCTTGCTTACGTGGCGACCAGGTTTCTGACGCATACGTTAATACAGGAAGAATCGTGGAGTCAAGAAGGCGGGGACGTATTCTTGTTCTCTTTACCACATCGTTAATGCTCTTAAAAGCTCCCCTAGCCGCTCGCTTCCTCCTGCTCAATTCTGAGTCGTTTACCATGTTGATTTCAATTGAATCAAAAGGATTCCTTGAATCGATGAAAGTGAGATAGAGTGGTCTCTTGTATTCGCACGATAGTTCATTGTGCCTTGATGTGGTCTACAGTACTGAATTCTTTTCGAAGCACTGATTGCTCACATGGCTGTCCTTCGTCCAATGTTCTGTCAATCTTGTTTAGCCCTGTCACTCTAGCGAAAAGTTTGTAGACGACAGGCAGCAAGCAGATTGGGCGATAGTTGCCGATATCGTGGAGGTCACACTTTTTGAACAATAACACGGCCTAGATGGTCTTCCATTCAATAGAAGCCTTGCATTCAGACAAAAAATGTGTGAATAGCCGAATCAGTGTGTTTGCGACCTAGCTGACGTTTCGGCAGTATCGCCTTCTTCAGAGCCGCTTTTTCGTGACTTCCATTGAGGAAGTTTAGAACAGCTGATTATGGTCGTGATAGACGACCATGTCGTCAACCACATGCGACTATAATCAGCTGTTCTAAACTTCCTCATTGGAAGTCACGAAAAAGCGGCTCTGAAGAAGGCGATACTGTCGAAACGTCAGCTAGCGTTGTATTGTATTGTGTTTTTCTATGGAAGTAAATGTATGCCGTTTAAAAACCTCGCGATTGCTGAACAAGAAAACGCCACATTCATATTCCAATGCCGAGGTTAAGAGAAAGT